TGCTCAAGCCTCCAGACTTCAGCTCCATTCTCCGATTGATGTCTCCATCAAACCAATCTGGGAAGTTTCACTTAATCCTCTCTGTGGACTAGTAAGCTGCGGCTCTCGGTCTTGTTAACGTTGGTGTGGCTCTCATTGAGATAACTGAAGTCGCCCTCATAGATTAGATTCCAGGCGACAGCACGTTGTGCGCGGTGAAACTGAGTCGTCGCCCCAATAGACGACATTTGTTTGTCTCTTCGACGAACGATCAAACGGGCAGCAGTCCAGATGCAGTCAAAAATGAGTTTTACGAAAAACTACTCGATCTGTTGCGTAAAGCGACCCGGGCTCGTTTCGCGATATTAACAGTTATGGATGTTAGATCAGGTCGATTTTCATCAAGTGAGGGGCATTTGGGAGACTCCTGTCGCAGATGGACCACATCACTATAAGCCACCGATGGTGGACTGTTCACAAGACTTTCGATCGTGCTGGAACATACCCCTCTTGTATTCGACCACGAGTGATATTGCAACAAGTTATCCATTTCCTTAGTTAGGCGTTCCAAAAGCACAACTCAACGACGACTAGACACTGATAAGCTATCCGACCCCGCTCGTCTAAACCATCTTCCAAAACGCCCTAGCTAAAAGCTAGGCCCAACCCCACCCGATAACATCAATCACCACCGCTCACCTATCAAGAATGCTCTGAATTTAACTGGATAGTTTGTTGTGGTTTGGCATGTCGTACCGCGACACCCTGGATTTCTTGACGCACGTCGATCAATTCAGAACGGCAGCGGGCGTAATTAAACACGACGTTTAACGAGACTCAACGCAAGCCTACCTATAGGCCACAAAATCTGGTGGACTAAACGCACATCAAAGATGGAGTGTGTTACCACCATAGAAAACTCCCTTAGCTGTTAAATCTCATCCGAGTCACCGGTAGGTAATCCTAGGTTTTCAGCCAAACGATCTGCAAAGCTGACATAGCCTGTGCTTTCACTTACTCCCTGTACTGATCAACTGGAATTCGTTGAGAGCTCTAAGTGCCTCGAGAGGTTGGTGGCAGCGGGTGTTGCTATTAGGGAGGAGATTACATCATGAATAGTGAAATGGATAGCAGCTTTTACCAACCTGCAACACCTGTGGCGCGGCCATGACATCCGACTGTCATCTAGGGAAGAGTGAAAACCGCCGCGGTTCGTAGTATTCTGCTCTACGGTTGAGAGAAGTGGTCTGTTCGAAGCATTGTTCATTTCTGGTGGGAATATTGGGTGCCCAACCACGAGGTTTGTCGTCGTATGAATTGTGCAGATAGTTGTTTTCTAAACGAAGTAACTTTTTATATCATCTCCGATGGTTAAGCCACGTTTTGTGTATGCCTGCCCATCAGTCACCTTTGCGTTCTCTTCTGCACATGCTTGTCAGGACTGGAGAATACATTGTGGTGGTCCGAGGATAACGCGGAGTAGATGTATCAGGACGCCAGCTTCAGTTTTGGCTTCGATTTGTGCAGCCTGCCTTCCAGGTTGGGGCTGAAGGGATGAGAATTGTCTTGGGCTAGAAACACTAAGAAATATCGCCTAAAATAGAAATCAGTGGCATGAATGCTGTGCGGTCTGCCTTTTTAAATCCCGTTCCCCGTGAATAAAACGACAAAGGAAAGCATAAATAATATCGACCATCAGGAAGGTATTAAATCCGGATGTATTCTGACATCTGTTTGTGGTTCCTATCTCCCTGTTCCTGTTAGAAATTTATATGGATGTGATGCACACCTCCGATTTATTTGAAATGTTTCTGAATCATTTTGGGTGACATCAAAAGTATCAACAATGCAAATCAATGATAAAATAAAACATCTGCTTCGACTCACATTTGAATTGACAGCATTGGTTCTCATGAATGTATTACCAATTGTGAATTGCAATCTTGCAGTATGCCATGCAAACGAAAAAAAACAAACGTTCTTGTGGAAAAAGAGTCACCTAGTTAAAGCATCTCTCTTCCCGAATGCATGCACATATATCCGAAATGCTGTAGAAGCAAAAAATGACTACTCTTTTCAATTGATTGGATCTGTTGCACGGAGTGTAAGGAATGTAACGCGACACCAAATGTCTCCCAACTTTACAATTTTTTATGATTTCAACTTCATCTCTCTGTCTATTGTGCAAATGGATAATTCATGACAGGAACTCGTATTTACGTTTTTCCCACGGAAAGTGGTGACTTTTCTATATTGACATGCACGGACCGACCTACGCACGCAGAAAAATCAGTTTCAAACGGATTGAAATGAATGCGACTGAATTTTGATCATGAAAGACGCAAATCGGATAGCATATTGCTTAATCCCTCTCGGAATGGACGATCAAATCAGTCTGACCAAATCATACAAATAAGGCTGAGTTGAGAATGAAGCCCTGCAGAGAGATCCAAGTGAAGTGATTAAGTGATAGCACATCCTACGACTAAAAACGAGTTATTCTTTCAGTGAATTCATATTTCTGTTCCACAGTTGTTTTTCAACGCGACAATCTTAGTCTCGATTTGCAACCGGATTTTGCCTCCCCTCCCCTCTCCGTTATTGAATACAAAGCAGGGTAACGTAATTACATCATCCACTGCTTTGTTTTAAGACGGTGAGTAAATCAGCATCATTGTTTTCACCATCATGAACACTCGCTATTTGAAGAAAGATCCCAATCCAGGTCATTCACACCTACACGTTCACGACGTGCTGTCTGGATATCAGTTTCACGTGCCCACTCATCTGGATGTCAAACTATATAATCCACAATCTGGTGTGTGAGAACGGAACTGAGGAATTGCTCCAAATGTCGGTGGCATACACTAAACTCTGGTCAACATTACATCCATGATAAATTAAATAGATTATTGCGAATAATTACGAGAAAACCTGAGACCATTTTTAGAAAGAAAACAGTTAGCAAATTACGGCCAACAAAACGTGAGCATCTTTTTTCGACCAGTGAAATTGGACGCCTTCAATTCGTTGTTCAGTTTTCAGGTGTATGATAGGCGATTTCACAAATATAAGCCTCAAATTTTTGCAAATGGCAATGAGACTCCTATTTCCAGGAGCTTTTAAAATCTAAATAATCGTCTTTGACGAGAAAAAACAGCTTTTTGCCCATAGGTTTTTCCAAAACAGTAAGTTGTTAAGAGATGAATAATAAAGAGCAAACCAGCCTTGATATTAATGTGAAGAAAGTTGTTCCAAACGTCAGTGTTCGAAGTAACATTTGATCATTTTATTTGGGTTTTTTTCATCTGAGGGCTCCACGGCCAACAAGAGTACGTGCAACGCACAACAAAACGTTGACAACCGGACTGAAGTAAACATTGAGCTGAATCAGACCGATCACTTTACAGACCATGAGCACTTGTCTAGCAGGTGAAAGATTAAGCGTTGGCAAGTGAATTTTGTTGTAAAAGGTGCGGACTGCATTCGAAAAAGTAACTAGTCCTCACATATTTTTTCGATAGTCGTTTCACGGTATTGCTCTTGAGTGTACCACACATGCTGCAATCTATGTACATACAAATAGAGGTATACTGTGAATCGTAAATGGAATACCCGCACCCATTTACATTCCGTTTGGGAGTTTTAGTAATGCTAACATTATAATCCATTTTCACCTTGGAACATGATTAGGAAGAAAATAAAGCTGTCTTTTTGCAGCACAAAAATGTCTCAAATTGAGTTCCCACGCAAGGCGGGGCCTTCGAATTTCGACCGTGCTATCCGTTTTTTCATCATCGGATTAATTCACTGCATAAACTCAACTGCGTCTGAGCTTGTTTTGCATCATTCGTATGAAATTTTACTGTGGTTGCCAAGGCGACAGTTGTGGTACTACAGTAATGACAAATTTGATCAAATACACGCGGGATTTTATGCATTCCATCAAATGGATCAAGTGTGCAGCTAAAACCTGTTTTGGGAGGACTATAAGGAATAAAACGAAAAGGAAGTTCAGAAAGCTTTAGAAAAATCCGAACAATCATCGAGGCGGATGGAAGGTTGCTCGTCGGAAACGAACCATCTCCCGCTTGCGTGTGCCCATCATCCTCAGTTCTAACGTCCGATCTCTTATCGGAAACATGGCCGATCTTCCCAGCTTAATCAAGCAACGAGAATATGCCCAACTAGGTGTGATCATGCTACAAGAAAGTTGGCTTCGCAATGAAATTGCGGATGAAATAATACACCTGGATGGATTCGCTAGCTATCGTGTCGTTCGTCCTGTTTCTTATTCCCAGACGGGGAGGTGGCGTCATCACGTTCGTCAAAAATCAGTGATGTCATATGACCAAAAATGTGTTTTCTTATTCCACACGTTATATAAACGCATCAGCAATTCAATGCAGGCCCAGACATTTTAGCTTTTTTCACTCACATTTTCTTGTGAATATGTATGTAGGCTCCTCTTGCTCATCTAATGTTGTTAATGATTTTTATGACTGTATTTTAGCTACACCGATTGAATATGTAAATACTTCAGTCTGTATCACTTCTGGTGAGTTCAATAATTCCGCTACCCGTTTATCAACCACCTTAGGTCTTCAAAACATTGTTACTTTGCCCACCACGCTTGATGTACATCTGGCTTTGGGTTTTATCAACCTTCCCAATTTACTTCTTGTAGAACGCCAACCCCCACTGGGAATGTCTGATCATTCGACGTTGAAGTTTTCCCCTCTACCAGAACGAACCATCTTCTCTTTACTCGAAGTCGTGACCACAGGCTTCTAGTAAGAGAGAAAACCAGAAAACCTCACGATGTTAAGGGAAATGATCAGACACTCCGACCTTAATTTGTTTTCTGATCCCAACCCTTCCGTTTTCTGTGATCAATTAACAAGCTACTTAAATTTGGTTTGGATGTCTGTTGTCCCTTAGAGACAATTTATATTCGTCCCGATTGTTTCTCTTCTACACACCTCAAATAAGTCCATCGTAGAAAGAAGCGCGCCTTCAAAATGCATAAGCGCGAAGATGTGCACTCCCTTTATAAATCCATCCGGGCTGAACTTCGAAGGCTAAACCTTTTATACGCCCGTGCTCCGCTGGACGTCAAAGGTAATCGTGAGACCTGGCAAGCCCTTATGCGAAGTACTGGCATCAAATCCTCACACCGCTCACGTGCTGTGGTGGACATGGATGGTCTAAATCAGAGTTTCATCAAAGGTGGAACCGCTCTCACTGCTCTACCTAATGGATATGAAATGAACCCCACTGATTTCGTCTCCAGCGTTGCACCTGTCGATATTTGACAAGAGTCGACTCAATTAAATCCTCACAAATCCTGCGGCCCCGACGGAGTATCACCCGCTGTCCTGAAAGAGTGTGCTGCCTTCCCTTCCCCTATACTGTGTGAACTTTTCAATGATTGTATTTCGCAGCAACGTTTACCCGAATGCTGGAGAATAGCCTCTATCACCCCTGTACCGAAGAAAGGATCCTCACAATTCCGTTCCATTGCCTGCACCTCAGTAGTCTTGGGGGTGTTTGAAATGCTCCTCCTAATAACCCCGTACACACAATGCAATGTTGGTAACCCGAACCAGTTTGCATACACTCATTCCCATGGTATTCTGGATGCCCTTGCTTATCTGTCCCACTATGTTTTATCCAACCTAGATAAGAAAAGGCTGTACGCATATTTTTTCTCAACTGCAGTGATGCTTTCAACACAATTGATCGACAAACGTTGGTAAATACCCTCTCTTCGGGCGGAGTTCAACCTTTTACGATTGAATTCCTGGCCGACTATTTCTCCAACCGTTAGCAGTTCACAGGCTACGAAGGTCGTACATCTCTACTACTGACCTCCTCAAAAGGCGTAATACAAGGCGCTATTTTATCCCCTTTTCTATTTTCTGCTTACATTTCTTCTATGCCTGTGGGCAATGCTTCTCTTCTCGTTAAGTGTGCAGACGATATAGTATTCGGACTGCCCTACCCCAACCCATCATTTCAAACCACTCTACAAGAAGACGTATCGAAAATAGTTGCGTGGTCTCAACAAAGGAACCTACGCACGAACCCCCAGAAATATAATGACGTAATTTATTTTTTTGAAAGGGCAAAAGTATGATGAATTGTCAAACGTCAGCCCTCCTTTATCTATCCTCAGTGACCAGGTGGAAACACAACTGTCTATCAAATACCTTGGCGTTATTTTCAACCGTGACTTCACCTGATCTGACCACGTTAGTGACGTTTTTCTGAAGGTCAGGAGACTCACATTTTGTTTTACGTCTTAAATCGCTTTCCATTCCTAACCATCCCATAAAGCGTTTTGTTTTTGCTTGCGTTTTTCCCCACTGGTTTTGTGGTTTCCCTGTTATCTTCCCTGGTCTTTCTTACAAGGATCTGAAACTCATATCCTGATCTCGCAAATTTCTGTTAGTTTATAGTTTCATACCACGGGTACATCTGGTACTGTATGTGGTGATGCATCACATCAAGTCCTGTAAAACATTCTCCAACAAGATTTTATCTAATATTTCCTATCCTCTTTATTCCGACTTAGTCAATGCCTTTTTCACTCATCCTCCCGTTTCACTCACAATCTTATAAAGACAGGCACTGAAGGTTACAGGTGGTCAGTTGTCCGTTCACTTGCCAGGTTTCTAACAAACCATGAACTCGTTGCGGAAGTCTGCGCAGAACGTTAAAGTAAATCAATCAATAACACTCAGGTAGGCCATTGATTTTGACGTTGCGGCCCTTTTTTCATGTCCTTTAATTGCCATATTATATTGTTTCTTTCCACATTTGTTGACACACTGTGGTTATGTGGTTACTGAATATCCACCTCTCAAGGTGTATAAAGCCATTCCTTGGCTTGACTTTAAGTTACTTGAATTATGGCTTTCATTTAAGGTAAACTTTAGATTGAATAAGGGTTTTTTTCTCGGAATGAATTTGATCTGCATCTCGGAGGCTGTGATCCATATGAAAATATCTCAATAGAGGCGCCATATAACGATTTCACGTTGATATCTTTTCATTTCGTCCAGTTATGAGGTTCAACGTGATAGAAAGGTCGTGCGATCTCTCTTTTTTCACAGTCATATATCCAAAGTATGTCACTTAAATTGCAGTTCAAATCTTCAAATCGGCATCTAATTCATACGTGCTCACTGTTCACATATTAACGTCCCAAACTTCACCAGTCTTATCCACCTAAAAATACCCAAGAATCTTATATTCCATGTTCCTGCAGTTTCATATTTTGTTATATAATGTACCACAATTGTCCCATAGGTGCAACACTGAAAGCAAATGTGTTCGACATGTTGATGCTACTTTTATGGTGGAAGACGTGCGCAGAGTTGTTTATCACACCTTGCTGGTCATTACACAAAATTCATTTGATAAAGTTGTGAATTGACGAGTTCCGGAGCCGTCAACCCCAATGCAATTCTCGAGGATTCAAATGCTAGGATTACGCTAAATCTGACAGGAAAATGGTACGTTTAACTGATTCAGTGATGTGCTCAAGGTCATCGATTAAATATGTTAGAGCACTTTTTTCAATCCCACCACCATTGAGTGCAGTTTAAGGTTTCGCACCTGATTTTATCCGTTCCATTTAATTGGTGCAATTTTTGCACCATAATTCTACCGCAGTATACTGGAATAATTATTGCTTTGCATCACAGGTTACGCATATTCCCAATATCCCATCAATTGTACGCACGTATGCACGAATACTGAATGAAAACATAAAAAATCACTGTTTTAGTCCCCCAAATTTCCTTTCTTATTCCTTTTTTACGATGAACCTGTAAATGATCATTACCTTACTGCTTTGGAATACCAAGCTGCTATGATTAAAGTTTTAATAAATACTTCCCTAAAACAAAAAATCCTTGACTGGTGCGGCAACCGGCTGCTTGTGACGCCACGCGACCGACCTTTTTCCAAAACAACAGTGATCACAGACACTAGTTTGAGAGCAGCAGCTGGCGCATAGTCGTCATCCCCCCTCCCCCGCCGCCGCACCACCACCATCAGCCCGCCCCCGGGGATTCCATGTATTGGTTGAGGAAATTTGATTTGACTTTTACGATAAAAATAACAACAATAGTGAATATTTTTATTCCTCCCGTATGTGTGTGTGATTGTACACATACCAGTAACGGGCAAACTGATTCGACCTGATTCCTCTGTTATTCTCTCCACGAACGTCATAGAATGTTGTTGCAGCAAAAGAGTCACTGTAGGTGAGCTTATGTTTTGTTACCATGCCCAATGTTATTGGTGTCATTTTTCACCACATAATTTCATTACATTTTTGTATAAAAATCTACGTCAACTAGACAATATGGTGGACGAGATGGGCCGCCTGTTGTGACGGTGGATAGAGTAGAAACGCGAACAGGCAATTACGTAAATGCGTGGTTCACCGCTAGTCATTCAAAAAGAAACAAAGTTTAAATCCAGGTTTTCATCTAAATCATTCATTCTTTGCGTGTTGACCATGAACGTGGACTGTACAGCTGTTTGGTTCTTGTTAGGACACCGCTAGTTAATCTCAACGTAGTGACTGGAATAGGGATGGGTTCGTTACTGAAACCTAATCCAAATGATCGATACACAAACCGATGAGCATATTGCAACACTAATTTACCGGCAAGGACAAATTTGTTCAAATGGAGTTCAAAATTACTCCACTCTGGAGGAATGGGAAACGAGCACCGGTAATTCTGTTCTCTGTTCTCAGTATGTACTCAAGTGCAACTAAAACAATAATTAAGTTGACGAACTTTCACTTTTATTTCATTGTCATTGGAATTAGTCACAACACATAAAGGTGTGTGTCAGAATATGAAAGGTATTTTATCTTATTCTCATAGGGAAATCGCAGTGAAATCTCGTGATCGATCGATTCCGGAAAGACGAGGGATAGAGGATTATTATATCAAATACATCCGGGGTAAGCTAGACTCATCCCGATTGCTTCAACTATCCACACACACACGGTCGAGTTTAACGCACGGATTAGGACCGTATAGAGCGTACTTGTCAGGTAGTTTAGAATGCTTTACACAAATTTTCACTAGTATGCCAAAATTTCTCGATTTTCCATTCGCTAGTCACCTGATTTATGACGTTCAATCTGTGTAGCCCGCAACAGTGGAGCAAAAAATGAGTTGGGTGAACTTCGGGGAAAAAACTATATCACAATTAGTTCGAACTTGCTATGAGTGAAATGCAATACACTTTAGTGAATCTAAATAAGAATGAAACATACAGTGGACCGGAGTTGATTGTTCTTCGGTCTCACTCAGAGTTGAAAAATATCACATTTTGTAAAATGTTAACGGTGGATCTATTTGCTGGCTAGAAAACGTGAAGTCCCCGGGTGACAAGATACCCGACGAAAATCTCCCTGAGCGAAACTTCACCATTTTTTGTCATTTACGCAAATAATGTTTCCGCATCTTTTCTTGTGATCATGCGACAATTTCTGGTTCAAGACTGATATTTTTTCGCTAGAAAGAAGAATGCTTTTGAACTGCATTTTCTCATCACATCTTTTGTAAAGTTCGGTTTAGAAAAACAACATATTCTTGTTTTCGCCAGCAGTTGTGTTTCGGTACAATCATTCGAGACACTTATTTGAGAAAAATGAAAAGAATCCGCCTCAGGTGAGACAATTTCTGCAAGTAAACAAGATTCCGTTTTGTGCTCGAAACCGTTCAAGACACGAAAACTGTGAGAGAAAATATGCACACTAGATTCCTCAATGGAATTTGTCGGCTTACGTGAAACGAATTTGCCGGAATTGTATTTAAAGAACGCTAATGAGCAACCACAAATAACAGTGGTTAATCCTTATGACTTGTGTGAAGAGAGTTCGAAAGTGTAGCGAGTCTCTTGTATCGAATGGCACGTGACTGGTAGGCCTGGTTATTTAGAGGCCCAAAGTTTATCGATCTTTTGACCCTGTAAGTTGATTTCACATAGTTGCAGTTAGCCCGCTCCATTTAGGTGATTTATGATCTTCCCGACTAGGGGCCTACAAATATCGATTGATGATTCCAAGTTTGAACTTAGTGTAAAGGTGACAAAAGAAGTAATGAAGAATAAACTTGAAAGGGTATTGTGTAGACGCACAAGTGTTAATGATTATGACTCTCATTCATATCATTATTTGTCCCTAACCATCGACTACACCGATCCGAACTTCCTCATTCAGGAAGCCTAGTGTAATCTATGTGAGAAAAAATCCTGTTCAGTATACTCTAATGCTAGGTCT